AAGTCTGTAAAGAGAGGCATGTCAAGTGGCAATCTGGCAACTTTCGCCATTTTGAGGGAGTGTAACTCGGCAGGGATTTCACTTTTCCAGGTTTTTTTTGCGGCTTTCTCTATGTTCGCCTGGACTCTACTAACCAGAAAATTTAAAGAAAATCTGAGATATGAAGGGAAAGAAGTGTGCGATTTGACGTGGAATGGCCCATATATATACAATGGCAGAATACAGCCAGACTTTCTTGTAGCATACCAAATAGAACTAATACCAAACAGAACTAATTTGCACTTAAAAAGTTCTTTACTTATTTGAATCGCCTAATAATTGTTTGCAAGAAGTTTTTCAAACCGCTCAATTTATACACCAACAATCCCCAATTTAATAAAAAATCCTACAAATTGGATCAGTGAAATGGAGCCAAAATCTTTGAGGACCGAGAGGAATCAGTGAACCTTCTTCCCCCTCATCATTAACCCTGTGTTTATAATCATGAAAACCAATAACTGAAGAGCGCTAAAGTATTATTTGTGATTTCCGAATTGATGAGTGTGAAAAAACCGACACTTTGAAGAGCGGACAGTAACCCAACACACTGACCTGTCGCAGATTCTGAACGCGGCATATGTCAAGCTAAGGCCATAGCAGGTCGACAGTTGCATATGGCCGATCTTATACGTAGAAAAAACCGCTAGGGAAGTTCTAGCGTTTGGAATGTCTTCAAAAATCAAAAAGGGTTGGTAAAGCTAAAATAGTGAATAATTTCCAGAAAATTATTGGCTAAATCCTTTCTGGTTTAACAGGAAGTGTGCCGGTACCTTCGCTTAAAGCCTCATAAACCTGAGTTATATCTTACCCAGCAGTGAAAAACTGGTCGACTTTGCTAACAGAAGAAAACAGTGGCTAAAGAAACTAGTCTCACTCCTATCGTTCCAAACAATTTGAGAATTGCAGTTCAATGGAGAAATCAGTCCATTTGTACTATTAAACTTTTTTAAGACTGTAACTAAAAGTTATGTGAAGACTCCAATAAAAACCTGTGCTTCCCGCCCGATAAAAAGGTGTAAAGCAATGTCTCGGTTTTACTTTAAATTTGCTTTTATGAGAGGTTAAAAGAGTATGAAGGCTGATGCTACTCCCCCCTTCTCCCTGTCGCAAAGAAGCGAGGGCTAAAGGCGGCAAGTCTTAGAGAGAGACCAAACTACAGGTTGGCCACAATGATAAAACTATATAGAAGTCTCTGAAAAGACTTACTGTTGTATGTTCTCTTATCCCCACGAGGCTTTTAGCACCTCTTTGGGTATCACTATTTGTATTTCTTATTATCACTATTTCCTTTAACTTTGGCTTTATATGATTACTTCACTTTACCTAGGATTAGTTTGTTTTATATGGGCATTATCGCCACAAGTTTTTTGTTCTAAACTTCGCCGGATGGGTTTAATTACCCAAATTTCAGGTGTTTGTAGTCAATAAATCTATTGCTCAAAACTTGATCGCGGTTTGTTCCTTCAATCGCAGTATTATTACGGTATCGGTTATCAACAA